AGGCAACTCAGATGAAGTGCTGCAACCTATGGCCAGGCAAAATGTAGAAAATGCTGTTGGGTTATCCTCAAGCCCAACATAGGTATGGGCAATTGTGCCAAGTATTCTAGATATGGTCATCTCTGTCAGGGGTAAGCAAAGAGATAAAATATCTTTACAGCGTGCAGCATCAACAGTGCAACCATAACCTAGTTCCTTAATTATATCCCCCATGCTCATTTCCTTCTCCATTTCTGCTAAAAGAGCATCAAAATCATTTTCTCCAGATTCACTGAAGAAATCCATATTCCTGCAGCAGAAAAGAAAAGGAACAAAAGAGCAAGCATTTAAGTTGATGGCTTATCACAACATACTGGAGAAATAATGAACAGAACATGATGACTAGAAAGCTTGCATGATTAACTGCAGGTTTGGAGGAGAAGAGAGAAAGGAAATGGCTATGCAAAAATCAGTACCTTAAGAAATTAGCCTCACGCAATTCATCTGAAAGTATTGGAGTTAAAACAAACTGCGCGACATCTTTTGCTTGCACTAAAGATAACATCTGCATAAAGGAATCTACATGCTTGGAAAGGGCATCAGAGCACTGGAGGAACATAACAATATTCTGAATTTGCTCGGAAGAATCGAAAGAAGCTGGATTAGTATGCAATTCCTGAATCTGAGCCATGCAGAAATTCTTCCCTAAATAAATGCAAAAGCTTTACTTTCATCATTCTGATCAACAGTGTCAAAGAAACTAACTAATCAAGAGAACATCCTTTCAACAACCAATGCCCATTCAAACAATGCAACTTACCGCACATTCTTGTGTCAGGATTTTCAGAATCAGACAAAGCAAGACCAACGCCAATTTTTTCAGACACAGATAACTGCATAGTTTTTGAGAAATTCTGCAGGAATTCCTCACTGATATCTGTACTTCTTAGTGACTGACAGAAGACAGTACAAAAATTTGGCTTGTCCATGGTATGTCTAAAAATTGCTGCTACAACTTGGTCAGATTGCAAGTTCTTTGAATCCGTCTTGTGAGAATTCAAGAAATCCAAGCAGGTTTGCAACACCGGAATGCTTCCCTCGATCCCATATTCAATGAACTACCCACAATAAACAGACCATATCAGTATGTCGTTAAGAAAATTGTGTAAAATGGGAAAGAATCAAACAAAAGACCCCATCCCAACCCCTTGGAGACCACTACCAGGATATCCATTCTCACACCTCACAGAAGTTTATAAATCTTGACAAATTCACTCTTCATTACTATATCTGCTGCAACATTAACACAACTGGAACCCAGCTTACCTGACTTGAAAAGAATATCAATAGCGTTTCCTAGCTCATGGATTTTTAAATCTAATTTTATTTAGGAAAATAAAAGTAGCACCAGCAATGCGGTACTGTAATTGATTAAATTTTATTAGCTACAAATTATATTGACAGCGTTTCTAGGGTTTTTTTAAAAAGGAAAAATCAACAGAAATGCTCGCATTTGAGCAATCTGAATTTTCAACCTTCCAGTATCTTAGTCTCCGTTTCCATTTGTATATATATTCTCCCTATGGATAAGACGGCACCGAGCTAGCTAATTGTATACGAAAAATAAGTACAACGCGATCAAGAAATAAGTTACAACGAGAGCAAAACCCAATCTAATTGTATAAATATACATTAAATCGGACGTTAACTTTTACCTAATTTTAGGGTTTTTTGAGAGATTAGACTAATCTTGAGAAATGCAACATAAAATAATACCGAAATGGCGTGTGTGAGTACGGAAACGTTGAAAGATAAAGAAAGCACCTGACAGAGCTCTCGAAAAATGGAGTCAGCGTTGGCTTCGGTGAGGGACTGGAGTAGCAACCGAACGTGAGTCGAGAGTGTCGAGGAAAGCTCGAGCATGGTGAAGGGAGATGGATCGCAAGGGTTTTCGGCGGAAAGCGCCAGTTGAGATAAATAAAGAGATATTAATAGAGAGAAAGAGAGAAATTAGGGTGATGCGCTGGGGAGAGGGGGCCTTTGAAGATTGGGGGAGGCTGAAGAGAACCGTCGAGAAAAGTGAGAGTCGAACGTCTGAAAGTGTTGATGTCAAAGGGTAAAGACAAGCTTCTATCCGTCTGAGTGACATGCGGGTCACGCTCTATATAAAGGTGTCATCTCATGTTTGGTTACAAGATAATGGAGCAGTCCACCCTTATTCCTAATCGCTTACAAAATCGTGAGTAGTTCTTAAAATTATTTTTTTTAAGTATGATTATTTAAAAAGAGATAAAATAGTCATTATGGAAAAGAAATAACCATTATAAATCTCTTTTTAAAATTATAATTAATTCATGAAATGATTATTTTTTAAAATAATTATTTCAGCAGAAGTCAAAATAGTTATTATGTAAAAGAGAATAACCATTACACATCTCTTTTGATAATGACTATTTCGATTGTGTAAAAATATATTAAAAAAGTTATTAAATAAAATTGGTCTTAGTCAATTTTAAAATTACTTTCTTAGATAACACAAAACCTACTTATTTTTTATATTTTCTTTCTGTCCCTGCGCATCTGTCTCTCTTATCCCTTTTAAATTTCCTCTACCACTAGATAATGGCAAACTAACTTTTTATAATTATTAGTTAATTAAAAATAAAATAAATTTTAAGACGTATAAGATTCAAATGTTGAAAGTTCTTAATCTTTTTTAATAATCATGATTAATTCGTGAAATTATTATTTTAAAAGATATCAAAATAGTCATTTAAAAAAAAATACTATTATGGATTCCTTTCAACATGATAATTACTATTTAATTATGTAGAAATAGTTAAAAAATTATTAATAAAACTATTCTTATCAATTTAAAAATTACTTTCTTATAAAATACGAAACTTATTCATTTTCCATAATCTCCTTCTCTCTACTCATTTGTCTCTCTTATTCGTTATTTAAATTTCCTCTAGCAGTGAAAATGATGGATTAACTCTCTTTTTTTTAACATATAAGAATTAAACGATGAAAGCTCTTAACTAATAGGTTAAGAATAAAAAATAATATTAACATAATTTGATAATTAAAATCAATGTTAATCATCATCATTATTATTATTATATACGTATCTGGAGTTTCAATTAAATTATCTTTATTTAATGATGGTTTTCACTGTGGTATACAAGAGTGAAAAGGTAAATGAATATTCAAGTTTTAATTCATTAAAAAATCAAATTAGCAATTAGACGTAGCAATGTGTTCACAAATAAAAATTTTACATATTAATTTAGAGTGAAATATACCATACTCTTAAATTTTGATCGAAATTATACGAGAAATTTATTAGATTTTTAAATAAACATTAGCATTGATCGTTAAACAATGTTAATGTTAAATATCAAATATCTAAAATACTTATTTTTTTATTATTTTTTTTCTCATGTCGATTGATGGTGTCTCCTTGCACCGACTAACCACCCATCTGGAGACACCAGATTGATGATCCCTGATAGCACTAAAGCCCCTGAGGGAGCATCAGAGCTCCCAAAGAAGTGCTCAGCCAAATCGAGGTTTTTTTTTAATTAATAAAAATTTGATAAATTTATATAATAGTAATTTTTAAAATTAATAAATGATAGTTTTTTAAATATTTTTACATTGTCAAACTAATAGAAATATTAATAATTAATTAATGATTAGATCTATGTGTTTAGTGAAATATATGTTTAGAGATAAAATGTTAATTTTGAAAACTAATAAATCCGTTTGAATATTCGATTAAAACTTAGGGATTGAGGTATTTTACCCTAATTATAAACATAATGCTCAAAATGGTTTTTGAGTTGTTTAAAAAAAAAATAAGTATTTTTTTATTACGTTCAATTAACTGTTTATAAATTTTTTTGTAGTTAATTAAGTTATTATAAATAAAGGTTAATTAATTACATTTAATTAAAATATATATTATCATTTTATGTTAATTTGATGCTAATATATATAGTACATAATACAATATAACCATGATATCATGTCACATTAAAATATTACGTCATTATTTATCATGATGTGTTAATATGTCATATTAATGTCACATAATATATAATGATAAATAATATTTTAAATAAATTAATCATAAAAATTTATTTAATTCAAAATAAAAATATAAAAATTTATTTAATTCAAAATATAAGCACAAATATTTGATTGAACACAATAAAAATATAAAAATTTGTTAAAATTTTTAAAAATAGTTTAAAAACTTTTTTAAATAATATATTTTAATTACAAAAAATTCTAAATGAATAAGTATATTACAAATTATGGATGTGAAAAAATATTATATATATTAAAAAAAAAAACATTGAGATATGTACCCAATTGAATGTCGAAGAAAACAATCAAGTGTTAAATAAGAAACACTAAGCAAACCATATAAGGAAATATTCAATTAAAGTGTATTAAAATTATGATCATTTTATTTATAATTTATGAATATTGAAAAAGAAATTTCCAATCAAGAAAATAAGATTGGGACTGGAACATTAATGTAGATTATTACTATAAATAATAATCATATTGACATCAACAAAATAATAAAAACATTATATTATTAAGATAAGCCAATGCAATATGATTTATTTATCTTAACTTCGAACTTGCAAAATAAAAAAAAACTCATTTATTTTTAAAAATATATAAAATTGTTGTATTGGGTGATAAAATTAAAAGCTTTTATATACACTATAACTAATGTGAAATTAATATGATTAAACTTTTCATTTTATCTAAATATATATGTTTTCCAATTTAGAAGACTGCATCACAATTCGCAACAACACTTCAAACAAAAATAAAAAATAAAGAATATTGCCCAAAAAAAAAGAAAGAGGGTGGAGTGTTAAGAAAAAGTGAAATTGGGCATTAGAAGAAATAAACAAAAGCAGGGGAGCATTTAGCAAAGTGAAAAAAAGGGGCATAGATAGGAACCATCCAAGCGGGTTATTCTGACCCGGAAAAACTGCCGGATCCAGCCTCTAACAAAACTTCCCCATGAAATTGGCTCCTGAGACGGCAAAACACAATCACCTCCCCATGGCAACAATCTCTGAATCACCAGAAGATAAGTCAAATCCAAATTCACCGCCGTCAACGCCGCTGCCGCCGCCGAGCGATTTCCCTTCTAAAAGTGAATCGAAAGTGCTACAACAAGCAATTCCATGGATCGATTACGCAGTGGAGCAAGCTCTTGTGTATCAAAAGATCATTGTACAGAACATTAACGCCACAATCGAAGCTTCTAGATCTCGACTCTCAGAAATTCGCTCCACTTCCGCTGCACATTTCAATCAAACCATTGTTCGCTTCTTAAAATCCTTTCCTTTGTTCAATTTTAAGCTGAGAATTAGGAGAAATGGAATTCATGTGATTTTTTTTAATTGATAGGATTCACTTGAGGATGTCAAGTCCCAGCTTGCTGTTTACGAGAACATGGCGTTTGGCAAAGTTAAAGGTCTGTTGCACTAATCCTTTCGCATTCTGTTTGTATCTGACAGACTATTGGTTTTTAGTTTTTAAGGTTTTGAGCTTTGACATTTTTTGTTGCAGAGGGGATTAAAATTACAGCTTCGCATCCAATGATCACGGGTGGTGTTGCTGTTGGCTTGGGAGTTCTGGTACTGAAAAGTATGGTTCTGTTACATTTGTAGGCTGTTTACGTGTTCCTTGCTTGTATTTGCAACAATGGCATCAATTATATCCATCTCTATCTCTTTATGTTATATGCCGAAAATGCTGCAACTATGTACACGCAAATGTGCAGACATAACTTGTTATTCATTGAAACTAGCTCTTTCTAACAGTGTAGAGGTGCTGCTTTCTCATAACCAGCTTTAATGATAACCATTAAAGTTGTTGCTTAGATAACTAGCAGGTTTAGGATTCCTAGCCTCGCAAGTCTTAGCTATGCATATATCCTTAAGTGACTTATTAAGCAATTCTCTTAACCTACTTAAGTTGCTTTAATCTGGATTTAGAATTTAAACTTAATTGTTCTTGTTTCATTTACTTGCAATGCACAGGGCCAAGGCGTTTTCTATATTACAATACTTTGCGTCTTTTTGTGAGTGAAGAGGTGAGTCAATATTGTTTGTCTGCATTCGTCCTGATTTATGGTGCCCCCTTTCTGTCCTTACGATGTGCTTTCCGTTGGTGTATTTGTTTGGCTTATGGATTTGTATACTCAATTTGGATTTAAGAAGAGGACATAAATGATATTCAATCTGCATGCAAAGATTTTATCTTATTTATGATTACCCAGGGCATTGCTTTGTGTAATTCTGTATACAGTCTTTTTTCACATACCAGCAACGGCATCCTCAGTTTGTTGCTTAAGCTGAGAGTTGGAATCTCTTTCCTACTCATGGTTGTTGCAAACCTCTCATAGGAAAAGTATAAACAAATGACTATTATAAATTTGCGGAATCCGTTAGGTACTCATGATTGTTGCAAACTTCTCATAGCAAAATTATAAACAAACGGCTATTATAAATTTGCATTGAGTATATCAAAGAAGTATTTAAGTTTGCGACAGTAGAAGGATGTTAAATATGAATTGTCAAGGGACAGATGGAATTGCCTATTGTATTAATGTTGGAGCATCTTTTCCAGCTTCTAATAATTCCATGACATATTGTTTGAATGTCTCCCTCAACAATTGATTTTTGTTCTGTTTGTGGGATTTTCTATTTCTTTTTTGCACATCTTGGTCCATGCAGTGATATTTTTATCAGTTTTAACTGTTCATGACTCAATTGCTCACGAAGCATGTTTCTGAATTTTATCAGATTATTTTTTTTAAAAAAAAAGTTTTATCAGATTGTAGTGGGGGACCCCATCAAGCAATCAAGCATCTTCCCAGTATAAAACATTATCAATTACTTCCTACTATTTGTTGTTGCAGTCCTGGCTTTCCAAAGCTGACATTAGAGTAAAGGAGCTGAGACAGTCAATTGACCGCCTTAAGGCTGAAAGTGTGAAGCTGGAGGTACACTTTCTGTAGTGGATATCTAATAGATGACAACTGTTGACAAGTATTCTTTCATCATGTGCTTGTGTCATTTCATGCATCAATTGTTTTGGACATCTGTGTGTGTATAGTGTGTTGTTTCTACATGTGTGTTTGTCAATGAAATAGAACCTTTTTCCCTTGGAGTTTCAGCTGATTCTAGGATACTTTTGCGTTTAACTCAACATTTTTTCTTTATTTAATAATAATACAATGGTAAAAATGGAATGTTATCTGAACTTGCCGTAATTAATAAATGAAACCAGAGAATTCACTGTTTCCATATATATGCTTGAGCTGTTTTAAATAGTGTTGTATGTGTTGAAGAAAAATTGGTTAATCCCCAGGAATGGAGAAACATTTTAATTGCAGAACTGATTTTCCAAATAGCTTTCATCCAACAAAGTGTTCATGTACTGATGTCTATAGCTGTGAATAGCTTCTTTTTCTCAATAGAGTTCCTGGAATTACATTCACATCTAGTTCCTATTCTTTCATAGCTACAAACTTGAAAAAATGTAAACATATTATAAAATATCCTTAGAAACTTTGTGTACTGCTCAGAAATTATAAGTTAATCATTGCCTTAGATCAACTTAATGCTTTAGTTAAGCATTTTGTGCTATATAATTGATAATGTACTATTGATGTTTCCAGCGGAGTGCATCAGTAGCCGAAGAAGAGCTGATCCGTGGCAGGAAGAAACTCAGGTTGTGATTTCAAATGAAATGCAGTGGAATATTAACTTCTGCTTCTTGAGGCTGAATTTTCCCACTGGGACATATTCAATTTTGTTTCAGGCACGCAGGCAAGCAGATTCAAAGTGTGATTCACTCAGCTTATAAGATTGAAAGACAAGCAGCAGGTATTCAAGTACTTTCTCTCTTAATAAGGTGCATTGAACATTTCAGCATTTATGTGGCTGAGAAAACAAACCCATATTCTCTGTTGCGTCAGGCTTGAAGGATATCCTTGGAGAACTTCCAAGGAGAGAAGCATCTCGATTTAGATCACAGGTAAGTTTTCTGAATATTAGCATGCAGACTTTGTGTCTCAAAGTATATATTGCTACTGCTATAATGAAATTGCAATGTTCCTTTATTCCCGTACCTGTGATTGCATAAACCGTAATCATGGATGACTGTGCAGTTTTCCTTGGGAAATTATTGCTTAGATGGAATCATTAATTTGGCAGGTTTCCAACCTTGCTTCCGAGGCAAAGCGAGAGCGGAATGCTTTGGCAAAGGAGGTTTCAAAAATCAGTAATTATGGAATTGCAGTTTGAGGATTCTCTTGTCTACACTCTATTGTTGCATGTGCTTGAATTCACAGGTCACGGTTTTCATCACTAACACATAAGATGTTGTGGGAGATCACTTTGTCATTACATTCGAATTTTACTTTCGAGCCTGATGGATGCAAATGTGATGTTTGCACGTCAGGGAACATGTATAAGTAAAAAAGATTAAAAAAATCCTACATGAATTTCAGTTTTACAATTTTAAGGCCTTGTTTTCTGAATTTTCTGCTTCTCAAGGTTGATTTCAATGAGCAAAAACTGTGGAAAAATATTCTAATGCTAGGAAATCAGCGCGAAGTCTTCATTGAAAAAAGAGGAAAAACAGAATGAATCCTATATATAGGGCTTAAACTGGCTGTTTCACCATTGGCTCATGGTTCAATCTCCCATTGTAAAATGGTGAAAACCGACAGGACCCCCGGATTGCTCATCTGTTTGAGATAAGCCATGTTCTCTTGCTTTGTACGTGCTTTCGGAATTGGGATCAATCATTTGTTCTTGAAATTTCGCACCAATGCTGATAAAATTCGTGAATTGGGATCATAACGATCAATGGGTTTATCTCCATGGCTGTCTGTAGATTGTCAGCAGTGGTCGGTCCAGCTGAGTTGAGCCAGAATCTTCACAAATAGGGATGGCCACTTTGATTGGGAAAGTAGTTTAATAATGTTTAAAAAGATCAGAAGGCTGGCTGGCTACAGGAATATGTCGATGAACGTGCCTAATGCACATGCATTATCTCTCCCTCATCAACAAATAAAACTCCCACTTACACTCACTTGTACTACTGCTACTACTTTTGCATTATCATCCTCACCATGTCACGTGATCCTTTCAATCCCCTTTCCTTTTTTTATCAAACTTTCACCAATTACATATAACAATTAAAAAAAACAGGAAAAAGAAAAAGGGTTGGGTCGATTCATACTGATCATATGATTGAGATCAGACCTTCCCTATATTGGGTCCCACCTAAAATCTCCCACTGCAACGAGGCCTTTCATCCCCTATCAGAATCAGAAAATGCCGCTGACAAAACAAAAAACAAAGACCGGTCCCACCACCACCAACGTCCGTCCCTCGACTCGTACCGCTCATACTTCCCGTGTAACTAAAATCATGGTCTTCCACTCTTTTCCAAGGTGAAGTGAACCTCTCTTTTTTAATTTAATTAATACCTCATAAATAACGTTTATTTTAATAAAAGATTAACCTGTAATTTTATTTAATAAAATTATAAAAATATTTCTAAATACGAATAGATAGATTAATTTTGAATAAAAAATATTTTAATAATTTTATTGGAAACAATTATTTAAAGAATGTTAATTGAAAAAATACTAGTATGAATTGAATAAAAATATAAATATCATGTGGAAAAATTTAAATTATTATAAATAGTAGTTTTTTTAATTTTCTTTTATTAATTTTTTTGTTTTGTTAATTTTAACTCTTAAGGTTTTTGCGGAGATCCATGTGAGAACCCTTTACAGAGAGAGAGAATATTCGGAAGCGTCTAATCAGCTGCTCTGCGGTGCATCACGTGGAAAGTCACTCTCG